ATCAGGGGCAGAGCCAGCACAAGCCAAACACAGCTCTGGCGTATTCTCATCTCCTCATAGAAATGAATTGAATCAAGGCTTCTAAATGAGGAAAGTTCAATGTCTGTATGCAGAGGGTAGAGACACTGAATGTTAGTCACTCTGTGCATCACAGCCACAGGAAGCACCTCTAGTAGCCATCTAAGGCGTGGCCAGTGGAGTTATCCTTAGGCTGTAATGTAAACACTGCATTTACTCTGAAACAAACAGTGTTTACTTCAAAAAGCCTGAAGGGAATGACTGTAGTCACCACATGTAATAACCAAAAAAGAAAGAAGCTTTGGAACACAATTGAAGGAAACTGGAATCTGGCTTGCTTGTGAAAACCTTGATAGTCGATTTTTTAACACCCCCTACAGCGGGAACCTAAAGGGTTAATTCGGTGAAGTATTTACAGGTTCTTCAGAGAGAATTAAGCAGGATGTGTTTTAAAATCAGAAGGCAAAATGAAAAGCAGAATAGAAGACAGCAGATTAAATAAAGCAGGTCCTTTAAGGTTCTTTGGTCAGCCTGAAACAAGGGCCAAATACACACATGCAAACACACGTATTTCTTTTTATGTTATATATACTAAGTGTGTTCACGATCTCATGTGCAGGCTCTTGTGAATAGCACTCCATGTACAATTTCTAAACCATTGAAATATAACTGCAAACCTTACAAATTTCAGCCAAAAAGAAAGCATTGGAATCATAGTGAGCATGCACATCTACACCCCATTCTGTGCCAATCAGATGTGAGACCATCTGATAGAAATAATGGAGTTTTACTCCCCAATGTCATGCAGAACAGCAATGTTTTAAGCTGCAGTGTTAAAACGGGAGCACATGGCACCCAAACATTTAATTGAAAGAAAGTGTCTGGCTTCCTATGGTGTTCCTTTACCTGAATTCATTAAAGGGTAATTCCAATCACCACGGCCACTTCAGTGATTTGAAGTGGTCATAGTGGTAGGAGTCAGTAAAGGCAATGTTTCTGCTTGAAGCACTGTACATACTGATATATTTATAATTGTGTGCTAGAGGTTTGTTATATCCTCTGGTACATGTTACGTTGGCAGTCTAGAACTCAGTTCCGGGTTGTCAATGTTAAGTGTGTGTGTGTGTGGGGGGGGGTCCAGTGCTTGGGTGCGAGGGTTGCAATGTGTGTGTGAGGCGCAGTGTGTATGTGATGGGTCCATAGTGTGTGTGTGAGGGGTGCAGTGTGTGAGGGATGTAAAATTTGTGTAAGATGTGCAGTGTGTGGGTGTGAGGGGTACAGTGGATGTGTGTAAGAGGTGCAGTGTGTGAGGGGGGCAGAAAGTGAGAGGGAAGCAGTGTGTGTGTGTGAGGGGTGCAGTATGTGTGAGAGGTACAGTGTGGGTGAGGAATGCAGTGTGTGGGTGTGAGGGGTGCAGTATGTGTGAGGGGTACAGTGTGGGTGAGGGATGCAGTGTGTGGGTGTGAAGGGTGCAGTATGTGTGAGGGGTACAGTGTGGGTGAGGGATGCAGTGTGTGTGTGTGAGGGGTGCAGTATGTGTGAGGGGTACAGTGTGGGTGAGGGATGCAGTGTGTGGGTGTGAGGGGTGCAGTGTGTGAGGGGTGTTTTATGTGTTTAAGAGGTGCAGTGTGGGTGAGGAGTGCAGTGTGTGTGAGGGGTATAGTGTATGGGTGTGAGGGGTGCTCTGTGTGTGAGGGGTGCTCTATGTAGTGAGGAACGGGAACAAATATATATATATATATATATATATATTTATTTATTTATTTTTTATTTATTTTAAAAGATCATTAAACATTATTTTCTTCCTCCCTTTTAACCTTTGGCCCTGGAGGAGGGACATTGCAAGTCCTCTTGTTCCGGTGGTAAGTGGACACTAACCTGCAGTTTCTCCAAGTAGAGTTCACTCCCATGGGATCTGACATAGTGCTGTGTTGGAGCATTGCCATGATAACCACAGCAACACTTCAAGTTTGGAGAGCGCCTGCCCTGCATGGGCTGGCAGGTGAGATCCTCTGATTTTTCCTGCCAGCCTCGGCCCATGGCCATCACAGCCCACCGCACATGTACCCAGTTTGCCCGATGTCCAGTCTGGGCCTGCTGAAGATGGTTAATGTGGGGAGTGACTGTGTTTTTTTGCCTGCTCAGTCCAGCTTCCCACACACTGCATATTTTATTTCTTTATTCATTTGTTATTGTTGAACCCTTCCTGTTTACCTTTTCAGATTCCTGGTGATCCAGTGGGGCTCCATGGTTGTCTGCACCCAAAGAAGGTGAATGCTCCCTTCACTTGTATGGCCCATTCTATTTCAGATTTCTACAAACAATAAATGGGGATATTTATGAATGTTTTCTTGAAAAGTGACAGTTACATTTACTCATCACTCTGATCTTATGCACTAAAATGATTTAAATTAATAATAAATATTTTTCATTAAAATTATAATTTCTAAAGACAGACAGACAGACTTAGCTCCACAGAAACTAACAGACAAAACAAAACATTTTAATGTCAGAAAACAGTGGTGGAAAGACTGATAAATCCATTGCATTGCTAAAAAAAAAATTTAAAAAATGATGTATTAAAAAAATTGAGTTCAGGAGCAAAAGGAGTAACAGGGAAAAAAAAACTAAACAGATTATTAAATTGCACCCAAAAAATTGCTGAAAATTAGATGTAAAAGTACCAGCAACAATTTGCTAAATCTCCCCCACAGTGTCTTTAAATGGCTACGCCACAGTCCAAATACAAAAAAAAATTCTGTGTTTAGTAGATATCCGCCATTTTTTCATTAAGGCTATATCTAACAACAGCTTTCAAAAGCTGTGGATTTCTTGACTGCAATCTTTGCATGCCGTCCCCTTCTAGCTCCACCCAGACTGTCTGTGGCTGTCCAATCACAGACTTCCCAATGCAGCGCAATGAGAAGTCTTTGCAACGCAGGTGCTCTGGGCAATTGCTGCCTCTTGAGTTTAGCTCCACTGAGCTAATAAAACCAGGAAGAAAAAGGACTGATTGTCTGACTGACAGGTGGGGGGTGTAACAAGGTTCATATATAAAAGTGACAATATCTATTGCCCAAGTTGAAGTGGATCCTAAAGGTTCAATCAAGCTTTGTGTCTGGCAGTCTGCACATCACAATATAACACGTTCATGGTGAGATAGGTGGACTTCCGATTCCTCAAGAAAATTAAATGATGATCCTGGATACACACGCTAAACCCCTGATTATTAACACTGCAATACAAAACCATGTAAGAAAACCATCGCTGCGATCCAACTCATTTCATTTATTAAATCCTCCTCAGGAAAATCTGCATTCAGGGCCAGGCACCCCCCGAATGAGGTACCCTTATATCTACACCAAAAGAAGGAATAAATTAAATACTCCTGATTTATATTCCAAATGGAGTCATTAGTTTATCAGCTGGCATTCAGATATTCATGGTCCAATCAGATCATAATATGACATTTTCAGTATGTTGGCTTCTTTCGTCTTGAATTGGTTCCTATTTGCTCGGTGAAATTAAGGAGGGCTTAGACCCCCCAGTCGCATCATGTGAATCACAAAATTTATCATTCGATCCACCAATCAATCAGCACTTTCCCTATGTACAAGGCATTTACTGGCATACAGCACAACGACTTGCTATAGTCCCTGGGGCATAATGACAGTATAACACAGTGGGGTCAGGTTCCTGCATTAAACTGTGAATGAATTGGAGGGGTGTCCGTTTCCTGCGTTAATCCTGTAATCCTGCTTATATAACAGGGACACACTGTAATGTTTGATGTACAGATAGGGTCTAAGCTTACAGATTGCAGGAGGCGGCTGATTATAGATTGCCGGACCCGGCTAATGTTACGCTGTGACACCTTACACCTCTAGGACAGAACAGACAAGGGATGGTTGTAACCTCTAGGACCTATTAATGATGCTGTATAGAAATCAAGTGATACCGCTAGGACTGGACAGTAGCTTGTCTTCCTGTAATAGCGAGGTTGGCACAATAGGAGTGTCACTGCATGGCTCGATGCCATCCGGATACCATGCTGTAATCCCCGGCACTGTTTCCCTTAATCCTCTGTTTGCACAGAGTGAAAGTGACCCTCTCCAACCAGCTCTCACATTACACCTGTGATAATCTGGGGGTAGGGGGGATGAGGGCAGCTAATACAGGTCCGAGCCCTCTATATAAATCAGAGAGTTCTGGTGTGAGGACCAAGCAGCAGCACACCCTGGTAAATGATGTATTTCTATCTCCTGGCCCTCGTCCTCTTGCACTCTGCCGCCGGCTTTGTGAGTATCTGCATCCACACTCACTCTTAGATCAGTTAGATCAGTTATTTATTTCATGTCTTCCATAACTCCTTAGACACCCACACTCACACTGAGATCAGTTATTAATTGTATGTCTCCCTTATATACCTACACTCACACTCAGATCAGTTATTAATTGTATGTCTCCCCTATATACCCACACTCACACTCACACTTAGATCAGTTATTAATTGTATGTCTCCCTTATATACTCACACTCACACTTAGATCAGTTATTATTTGTATGTCTCCTTTATACACCCACACTCACACTTATGTCAGTTATTAATTGTATGTCACCGTTATACACCCACACTCACACTTATGTCAGTTATTAATTGTATGTCTCCCTTATATACTCACACTCACACTTAGATCAGTTATTAATTGTATGTCTCCCTTATATACTCACACTCACACTTAGATCAGTTATTAATTGTATGTCTCCCTTATACACCCACACTCACACTCACACTTATGTCAGTTATTCATTGTATGTCTCCCTTATATACCCACACTCACACTTAGGTCAGTTATTAATTTCATGTCTCCCTTATACACTCACACTCCTTTCTGTTATTCATTTAAAGGGGAACTGTCCCCTCCCAGGATTTGTAATATTATATTTACTGAGCCCTTATAACTAATATATTTGTATTTGTGATGTAAGAAAATTAAATTAAATGTAGAAATCCACCCCTCTTCATCCTGTAACTAGGTGCCTCCATCTTAGCTCCCTGTCAATCATTGTTATAAGCTCTGCCCTTTACACCTGGCAGTCAGTATAGAGAGAGCCGCCTCCATCTTAGCTCCCTGTCAATCATTGTTATAAGCTCCGCCCTTTACACCTGGCAGTCAGTATAGAGAGAGCCACCTCCATCTTAGCTCCCTGTCAATCATTGTTATAAGCTCCGCCCTTTACACCTGGCAGTCAGTATAGAGAGAGCCACCTCCATCTTAGCTCCCTGTCAATCATTGTTATAAGCTCCGCCCTTTACACCTGGCAGTCAGCATAGAGAGAGCCACCTCCATCTTAGCTTCCTGTCAATCATTGTTATAAGCTCCGCCCTTTACACCTGGCAGTCAGTATAGAGAGAGCCACCTCCATCTTAGCTCCCTGTCAATCATTGTTATAAGCTCCGCCCTTTACACCTGGCAGTCAGTATAGAGAGAGCCACCTCCATCTTAGCTCCCTGTCAGTCATTATTATAAGCTCTGCCCTTTACACCTGGCAGTCAGTATAGAGAGAGCAGCCTCCATCTTAGCTCCCTGTCAATCATTGTTATAAGCCCCGCCCTTTACACCTGGCAGTCAGTATAGAGAGAGCCACCTCCATCTTAGCTCCCTGTCAATCATTGTTATAAGCTCCGCCCTTTACACCTGGCAGTCAGTATAGAGAGAGCCACCTCCATCTTAGCTCCCTGTCAATCATTGTTATAAGCTCCGCCCTTTACACCTGGCAGTCAGTATAGAGAGAGCCGCCTCCATCTTAGCTCCCTGTCAATCATTGTTATAAGCTCCGCCCTTTACACCTGGCAGTCAGTATAGAGAGAGCCGCCTCCATCTTAGCTCCCTGTCAATCATTGTTATAAGCTCCGCCCTTTACACCTGGCAGTCAGTATAGAGAGAGCCGCCTCCATCTTAGCTCCCTGTCAATCATTGTTATAAGCTCCGCCCATTACACCTGGCAGTCAGTATAGAGAGAGCATACAAAGAGGAGGGGACATGAAGCAATGTTTCTATTTCTTTCTATTTGCTTCATATGCATTGTGTGCCACAACTGTGCCATGTCTGAAATCGATTATAATATAATTTACTAAATCTTCTATATTATTTGTATTTAATTTTTAAGTGGATCACTTAAAAAATAAGTTATAGTTGATTATCAATGATTTATTCAATGGAATGAGTACTCCTCTTTAATGTGTCTTTCATAGCGCGATCATGTACTATAGTATATAGCGCTCCGCTACAGAAAGACAAACAAGCGGAGATTAAACATGGCTTTGGATGTCACTGCGCCGTGTCTCGCTGTTATGGGACTTCGTTTGGGGTTAAACAAGTGAAATGCCTGCTGTACTCTGTGTCTGTGAAGTGTGTGGTCATACTCAGTCTTGCTATAGAATAAGGCAGACATTCTTGGTGGCGCCACTAGAGGGCGAGACTGAGGGTAATTGGAACAAGAAACAGTGATACATTATGTAACATGTATGAGCACGGAATCGTAGTTCGGTAAACAAATATCGTATTGTGTAGAAACCATAAACAGTGAATCTGAGAAATGGAGGCTGCTATCAACCTTCAACCTTTTTGTAATAATTTTAGTTAAACTGATAGTATATACAACCTCTCCTGGGATGCAATTCTTTACATCCACTTTTCTGCCTTGATCTGTTTGCCCTGTGGTCTATAAGACTCGGTAAGAAGACGGCAGTAAGGAGTAAGAGAGTTGATAAAGTGCCGAGCTATCATATAGTAGAAAGTGTACACACTCGAAGTGCTATGGTGTTTGTGTAGAAAGTAATTTCCTTCCATTTGGCTTTGAAACCTGATAATTTAATGTTCTGGGATTTTCTGATCCCATGCTAAAAGCCATAATTTTCATAATTTCCATCTAGCTAGTAACTTCCCGAAAGGCCCGATATAATGTCCTTAGCTGACACGCATACAGTTTCAGCGAGGAACTTGGCCTCCTCCAAAGCTCTGCTTTCGCACAATGCAGGCTATTTGTATAACAGAATTGGAGATTTGTTTCATTTTAAATCTGTCCAAATTTGGGTTGATCCACTGATCGTCTGAGTTCCAAAAACTCCAAGACAAAACATAACCAAATCACAAACCTAATGAGACACACAATGGACGAGCACGTCCGCTTTGAATGAGATCTCAATTTCTGACGATGGCGCCAAATAAAGAGAAGATTGATGGGAAAAAGATGATTGGTGGTTAGGGTACAGTCTCTAAATGTTCATTTTATTCACAGATGACGTGAGAAGTGATCAATAGAAGGAAAAGAGTAGGAGCAGTAGAAACATATCTATATTTATATATTATATCTTTAATACACATATCATGTATTAATTTTAGAACTAGATTGTTCTTGACTGATTTTCCTATTTTTTCCACTTGTTAATTTTTCTCATTTGATCTGTGAACCAAATGTTGGGATAATGTGCCTATCATGTACTGTAAAATATAAACAATATATGATATTATGTATCTATTTTTCAGTACACTGCTTGGCCCAATTTTGTGTCCTTTTGGTTTGTCTGATTCGTTTTCCAAATCTTTTTTCATTAACAAAAGCCGATCCACCATATATCTGAAATTCGTCTGACTTGAAATGTTTTTTTTTTATTTACATTTTTTGCCTACGCATAAGTCTACAGTAGAATAGCCAAACTTAATGTTATCAAAAATGTCCTAAGGTATTACAAAGAAAAAAAAAATAGGAACTTTGGTGAAATCTTACCTGATCCCTTACAACCTTGGACTCCAACGAGCTCAATGCCAAGTCCAACAGTTTCTTCTTCATTCACCTCCTCAGCTTGAGTCAAGACAGTTCAGTCAAAGATGGGAGCCTCATGGTGGGTAGTATTCTAATCATGGCGTGCCTCCATTGTAGCTAAGCTACAATATCAAAGTTCAGAGTATTTCAAGTTGATCAGTACTGTAAGATAATAAGCTGCATCTGAATATTACCCTCTAAAGAGGACACCCCAACTGGAATAGATTGCTGAGGAAGTGATAGCAGAAAAGGACGACACTGAATTATTGTCCTTATCTAAAAAGGAAACAATTTCAGAAAGCTGGTTCGTTGTCATATTGATCCATACTACTCTGCGGCATCTACTTCTGCTAAATTTAGAAGCAAATAAAGCACCGCATTTAAAAGGTGGACATCTAGAGGACTCGTGACAGAAGAAAGAAAGAAATGCTTGTGGTAGGTTGTATCCTTGTCTATAACAAAATGTGTTGAATTGTATAGTGATACTGAGTATTTCTGCACACTTTCAGAGTTTTCTGTTGATGAAAAAAAATATATATTGTCAAATGTCTCTTTTGGAAATAACTGGGACAAAAAAAAACATTATGAACATTTACTGAACAGGTGCACATTGATCATTATTGTTTGCACAACTTTAATCTTTATATGCACACATTTTGTAGATCTGGAAGTGTGTAGTAATACATTGCACCAATTTACAGTTGGAAACGTCTTTGTTATAAATATTGTTTAACTTACTACTGAGTGCATAATGTCACTGTCATTATTACAATGGGAGGGACTGACCCTTAAACATGTCACTGTCATTAATACGCTGTGACCCTGGGAGGGACCGACCATTAAACATGTCACTGTCATTAGTACACTGTGACCCTGGGAGGGACTGACCATTAAACATGTCACTGTTATTAGTACACTGTGACCCTGGGAGGGACTGACCATTAAACATGTCACTGTCATTAGTACACTGTGACCCTGGGAGGGACTGACCCTTAAACATGTCACTGTCATTAGTACACTGTGACCCTGGGAGGGACCGACCATTAAACATGTCACTGTCATTAGTACACTGTGACCCTGGGAGGGACCGACCATTAAACATGTCACTGTCCTAAACATGTCACTGTCATTAGTACGCTGTGACCCTGGGAGGGACTGACCCTTAAACATGTCACTGTCATTAGTACGCTGTGACCCTGGGAGGGACTGACCATTAAACATGTCACTGTCATTAGTACACTGTGACCCTGGGAGGGATCGACCCCTAAACATGTCACTGTCATTAGTATGCTGTGACCCTTTGAAGGACCGACACTTAAACATGTCACTGTCATTAGTACGCTGTGACCCTGGGAGGGATCGACCCCTAAACATGTCACTGTCATTAGTACGCTGTGACCCTGGGAGGGACTGACCCTTAAACATGTCACTGTCATTAGTACGCTGTGACCCTGGGAGGGACTGACCCTTAAACATGTCACTGTTATTAGTACACTGTGACCCTGGGAGGGACTAACCCGTAAACATGTCACTGTCATTAGTACACTGTGACCCTGGGAGGGACTGACCGTTAAACATGTCACTGTCATTAGTATGCTGTGACCCTTTGAGGGACCGACCCTTAAACATGTCACTGTCATTATTACACTGTGACCCTGGGAGGGACCGACCATTAAACATGTCACTGTCATTAGTACACTGTGACCCTGGGAGGGACTGACCGTTAAACATGTCACTTTAAAAATTAAATTTTGGACTAGGAACTATTGAACAGGTTAACAAATGTCTACAGCAAATTACTTTATATTTTCTATATGCAGAGAATTGGATATCAAGATACGACCCCCAGTGATCAACAGTCCATTGGCTGGAATATTCCATATGACGAACTGCCTCAGCAAATGAGACATAAAGCATTAATGTAAACATACAATTTTCCCTCTCCCTTGTGTCCTGTCTCTTTCCCATTTTCCTGTCTCTGTCTCTGTCTCTGTCTCAGGTGAGTTTGCTCCATCCAGAAATTGTAGAACTGTGTATACGTCATTACTTATCTGTCTATTCTTCCTCTACCATTATATTCTCTAGTCCTGTAGTAAGTTACCAACCCACCTGTGTGCTCTCTGCAGACGTCTCCTAATGAAAAGGATGCACAGGATCCCAAGCAGCGTGACAGAGGACCCAGAAGACCCCGAAGACTTGACTGATGACGTGTGGGAAGACGAATATGACCAAGACATGGTGAAGTGTCTGGAGCTGGTGAGATGGACAGGAGATATATCAAGATCAGTGTTTTTCCTTTGGAGTTTGCCCAGAGAAGCAGTCCTCTCACCTGTTTAAAAGACATTGTAGAATATTTATTTACTGTGATCTGTGATCATTGACATGTGTGTGCGAGTTATCTGATAACTGTCTCACTTGGGTCAATCCTTGAAACTATGGCAAGTAAGACAGGAGAGTCCTGCAAGTTCAAGCTATGAGTCGAATTATATTAAGGTCTGGATTTCGTAATTTTAATCATTTTTTATTGCCTGAAATCTGTGGGATGAATCTGGGCAACTACAAGCTTCTCTGACTGGATATTAGAGCGAATTCTCAAGAGAATTGGTGAATTGTGCTGTACTGGGGAACAATCACAAGTTGTAGATTTTACAGTCACAATTTGTTGCAGAGTGTGAAAATAATACCTGAAAACTGAAAAAGGGGAAACAAAATGTAAATACAAAAACATTATCCCGAACATCTCACTAGTTCAACCGTTATGCATTTGTGCATGGAGGAAAAAGTTGGTTCATCTAAATCGATTCATCTGAAAATCTGATAATTGTGTTTGGAGTGATTTCGTCCCTGGGACATTTTCGTTCGGTTTTTGGGAAAACTATTTGGATGAACCAAAATGGTGAGAGTATTAGTGTCAATAATTGTACCGTAAAATATAGTAATATAATTAGTGTACTGTAAAATATTATTTAATGTCAACTGGCATACCGTAAATTATAGTAATATAATGTCAATTAGTGTACTGTAAAATATAATTATATAATGTCTCTTAGAATGCGGAAAAATAATATAATGTCAATTAGTATACCCTAAAATATAATAATATAATGTCAATTAGTGTACTGCAAAATATAATTATATAATGTCAATTAGTATACCGTAAAATATAGTAATATAATATCAATTAGTGTACTGCAAAATGTAATTATATAATGTCAATTAGTGTACTGTAAAATATAACTATATAATGTAAATTAGTATACCGTAAAATATAATAATATAATAATTAGTTTACTGCAAAATATAATTATATAATGTCAATTAGTGTACTGTAAAATATAACTATATAATGTAAATTAGTATACCGTAAAATATAATAATATAATAATTAGTTTACTGCAAAATATAATTATATAATGTCAATTAGTGTACTGTAAAATATAATTATATAATGTAAATTAGTATAACGTAAAATATAATAATATAATTAGTTTACTGCAAAATATAATTATATAATGTCAATTAGTATACCGTAAAATATAGTAATATAATGTCATTTAGTGTACTGCAAAATATAACTATATAATGTCTCTTAGTATACCGTAAAATATAATAATATAATGTCACTTAGTGTACTGCAAAATATAATTATTATGTATCTATTGGACACTGATAGGTGCATTGTCATGCCATTTGTTTCACAGATCAAGTAAGAAAATGTAACCAACAGAGGGCAAAAAAGTAGGAGCAGTAAAAAATCAATAGTGTTTGTTTATTTATACTGCTCCCCTTTTTTTCCCCATCGGTCACTTTCTCATTTAATCTGTGAATAAAATTAACACTTAGTGACTGTCCCCTATGGCCGTCAATCACCTATTTTTCTCATAAATCATATTTTAATTTTTTATGCCATGGACAGAACTCCAAATCGCGAAACAAACAGTTTGTCCATTGTCATTTTGTTTATTTTGTGATTTTCCCATGTGGTGTTTTGGAATTTGAAATTTCCAACACATCGCTGATCCCCCAACATTTAGATGAATTGTAATTCCTTTGAAACTATACGCACAAGTCTAGTCTTACAAAGCTACAAAGTATAGCACTTAGAGGATGTGGAATTCACAGAAAGAAAGAGTAATAACCAGAGAACAGGTATATTATAGAAACATCGGCAAGGCAGAGTCAGTGAAACAAGAACTGAAAGAAAAAGAGATAAGCGCCATTATGGTTTTTTTTTGTTTTTTTTACCAAACAAGCTCTTATTATGTAAGGAATCTTCTGTGAGAGACAAAACTCTGGCGTGCGCCAAGCGTGCATTGGCCTGGATTGTACAGGAGTGTATGGCGTGCGCCAAGCATACATTGGCCTGGATTGTACAGGAGTGTAATGGCGTGCGCCAAGCATGCATTGACCTGGATTGTACAGGAGTGTATGGCGTGTGCCAAGCGTGCATTGGCCTGGATTGTACAGGAGTGTATAGCGTGCGCCAAGCGTGCATTGACCTGGATTGTACAGGAGTGTATGACGTGCACCAAGCGTGCATTGGCCTGGATTGTACAGGAGTGTATGGCGTGTGCCAAGCGTGCATTGACCTGGATTGTACAGGAGTGTATAGTGTGTGCCAAGCGTGCATTGACCTGGATTGTACAGGAGTGCTATCATCGCCGTACAATCACTTGCTATAAGAAGAGCCTCCATGAGTGATCCTGATTTCATGGTACGCATTATTTGTTAGTCCTTGTGTTAGTGAGCACTGGTGACTCGGAGCTATGTACTGGGCGCAGGACGAGAGAGCCATGACAGGTGCTGAGAAGAAAGAAAACGTCACAAATCTGCAACCACCACAACAAACGTTATAATGTGTCTGCCTTGTATCTATTTCCTCTGTATGTTCTTATCTTCTGGAAACCTCAATAAATTTCTAATGTTTTCTGCTTGCAGTGTGCGTATTGTATGTCACATGGAGACGGATATTCGAATCCTGGCACCTGGGTCCAACAGGATGTTCACAGAATATCCTTAAATGCCACTATTTTACACTGACGTTAGCAGTAACGTATACGTTATAGTGCTTTATGTGTCCATTTCAACATTGTCTACAGTCCGTCCTACACGGCAGAGTCTGTGATCTTAGTTTGGCTTTATAAACGTGATCTGATATATTATTGTATGATTGTTTCATTTATTCCCAGAGGTAATTGATTTAATGTTCAAAAATCATTTGAATGTAAAAGAATCCGCATTTGAAGACTGACAGTTTCTTTCAAGTGGATAAGTTTATATATATATTTTTTTTAAATATTTTTAAGTTTAATTACCATTCCCACCAGCTCTGACATGAGTGCTAACTCACTGCGGTATATCCGAAGTTGTAAAATGTGGGTTCTCTTGGCAGGTGACCCAAAATGCTTCAGGAACGTTAATGGGAAAAGATCGATGTGTGTGTGAGGTCCAGTTACCAGACAGCTCCTTCCCAGCCAAAAAAGTGGGTTTTTTGGAAGATGAGACCATTCGTTTAAGTAACCGAGTGGAACATGAAATGCAGATGGTAAGTTGGACATTACTGTATTGATGTCCCAGATAATGAGAACTAGACTGATAACCCACCATGTCTTCAATATGTCTAAAACAATGATTCAGCACTACCAGAGTCAACAACTCCTACCACACAAAAACCCTCTCCAGACCCGTGTTATCGAGCGGACATTTTCTGGTGGTGCTCGTCAGTTTGATCACGATTAGCTTAATCCCAATCATTTTGGCTCAGTACCATTGGGAGAACTAAGATTTGAATATGGGAAGGAGGGTAGCGTCAGCAAAGACGATGCTGGTTTAATGTTAGTGATAGAACGATGGCTGATAATGTTGGGTTAGGAAAAATCTAATGATATGATAAGAACATTTTGTTTGTGTCAGTGTGTAAAAATCCCATCTTAGCTGAACAGTGCAGACATAGGAGAGATGGCAGATTCAAAGGTGAAATTTGTTTCCTTTTTAATGTATGGAATATGAAGTGTTACCATGCAGTATCTGAGCATTGAGCAGATCCTGGTAAATCTGTTGTTTAGTAACCACTTCAGCAGTAGATGAATTATACAGACTGCAGGGCAGCACTGTTCGTGCACTGCCTAGTATGCTGAACAAATAATTCAGATTTGGGTACACAATTATTGAAATTCTTGTCTCTCGGCTTCTTTTGTCACCCTGCTTCTCATTACTGGTCGGTTTGTCCCCTTCAGATTGAGGAGCAGGATATCAGGATGGATTTGTATTTGGAAAACCTCATGAACCTCACTAAGAGGGTGGAAAATTTGGAGAAGATGCGCCCCGAGGATCTGATAGAGTTCAACTTTGAGCTGTTGAAGAAGGAGATAAAAGAAATGGAAATATTAATCTTGGAGCTGAGAAAGAAGCAGAAAGGCACTCACGTGGAGAACCTGGACATGGAGGTAATTATATCTATTGTCAGCACAGGAGGAATAATATCATCCAAGGAGGTGGCTGAGCCACAGGAAAGGGATGGACGGGTGTAAAAGGTAAAAGGTCTTGCTTTGTCACCTGGTCCTTTAATAATCCCACTGTATACAACTTCTTATACACAGTGGGTGCCACCTACTTCCTTAATAATTCCGCTCTATGCAAGTTCTCGAAGACACTGGGTGCCACCGGGTCCTTTAATAACCCCCCTCTATACAAGTTCTCATAAACACTGGGTGCCATCTGTTCCTTTAATAAGCCTGCTCTATTCCAATTCTTATACACACTGGGTGAAAGGTTTCACTCATCCATGTGGCTGTCCTCTCTGTAGGTCAGGAACATCTCCAAGATTGTCAACCAATTAGAAACCCTGGACAAGAACAGTGTTCTTAAGACACAGAGGGAGATGGAGTTGCTCAAAAAACGAATCCTGGACTGCGAGAAGAATCTAAAAAATATGAAGCCCACTGTTCCTATACCCCTTGGTAATATTAACGTCCCACGATGCAGAATATACATTGATAGGTTATATGAAGTAATATGAGGAGTTATATGGAGGGTTATATGGAGTAATAGGGGGAGTTATAGGGAGGTTATATGGAATAATAGAAGGTGTTATATGAGGAGTTATTTGGAGTAATAGGATGAATTATAGGGAAAGGTTATATGGAATTATAGGAGGAGTTATAGGAGGGATATATGGAGTAATAGGGGGAGTTATAGGGAGAGTTATATGGAGTAATAGCAGGAGCTATAGGAAGGGTTATGCAGAGTTATATGCAGTAATAAAGGTAATATCAAGCAAAAGGAGGTGTTATATGAGGAGTTATATGGAGTAATAGGAGGGGCTATAGGGAGAGTTGTATGGAGTAATAGAAGGGGTTATAGGGAGGTTATAAGGAGTAATAACAGGAGCTATAGGAAGGGTTGTGAGGAGTTATATGCAGTCATAGGATGAGTTATAGGGAGGGTTATATGAAGAGAACATCATAGAAATAGGAGGAGCTTTAATATGAGCTACATAGAGGTGATAAAGAAGTATATATTTATGAATTAAGTTATGTAGTATGATGTGTTTTGTAGTAATTGAGTCTGTGTTGCTATCTATGTTCATTAACATTAATTTTCCAACTTGATATAATTTAACTTTTTGTCACTTTTTCCTCAAGGATCATGCCAGCACCATGGTTTGGCTCGCATCAGCAATCCAAACCTTCTGCAGATGAACTGGAAAGGTTCTGGGTACAAATACGGGGCCTGGGGCAAAGACGCAGCCTGGAATGCCACCAAGAAGATGATGTATTGGGTAGCCCCACTTAACGCAGATGGCCGAATACTAGAGTCAGTGCGAACATATCCAACTCTTTATGACTTACAAATGTACAAAAACCAGATGGACTTGCCTCTTATAACGACCATTAAGAATAAAGTGAACTACACCATCGCTGGTCAAGGTTCAGGGATGGTTGTATACAACTATAACCTGTACTACAACTGTTATAACTCAAGAGATATGTGCAGAATCAATTTAAGTAGTGCTTTCCAACAGCGGAAAACCATTCCGGGTGCAGTTTTCAATAATAAGTACTCCTATTCTTCGTCCAGCTATCAGGATATTGACTTTGCCTCCGATGAGAAAGGCCTGTGGGTTCTATATACCACTGAGGAAAATTCTGGTAATATTGTAGTGGGTAAAGTCAATGTTGCCACCCTGACAGTAAATAGCACCTGGACCACCACACAGTACAAGCCTGGTGTCACCAATGCCTTCATGATCTGTGGTGTCCTCTATGCAACCCGCTCAGTCAGCCCAAAGCAAGAAGAAGTCTTCTACATGTTTGACACCAAGACAGGAAAAGACGGACATATCAGCATCATGTTAGAGAAGGTCACGGAGAAAGTGCAAAGTCTGAATTATAACCCGAATGACCGCAAGTTGTACATGTACAGTGATGGGTTTCTGACATCCTACGATGTTTTTATGAAACCTTGAGATTTCGATCTGATGTTCTTCCTATAAAGGTCTGTCCTGCCTTCTTTCAGGTCTTAGTTATTCCCCTTGCTTAACCCAAAATAAATAAATATACACCACTGTATTGACTTTTGACACTTTTTCCACTAACTTTCTTCTGAGTATAATTCTGGAGAATAATTTAAATAATCCCTTATTATGTTTTGCTTTTTTTATAACAAGTCACGTAGAAGAGGTGCAACAAGCCAAACAAATACAATACTAACTTAGTTCTTTAAAAAAAAGTCCTTTTCAATCTTTTGGTGGCAGAGAATACTGTGGTATCCAGTGGACGTAGCAACCTGCCTCTTGCCACTGCAGACAGATCGAAAACATGTATTTCAAGGTTAGATGATAAGATCTGCATACAGTGCTGAGGTCCCCGAGTCCCCTGCAGGAGAATATTATGACCCAAATTCCTAGATCCAGTTTGAGATGCTCTCTCCGTATATTCAGCCTCTGTTTAATAAAATCTGTCTGATTTAATGGGTTCTTACAAATCATGTAAGTTATATTTACAAATGATTATATCAGAAAAATAAAGTAATTATGTGAAATATTTCCTGCGTGCGGCTGTTTCCTTACTTTGTCTTCAGAAAGAAGAAATGAACACCAACTGAGATTTTAAAAAACAATCTGTTTTATTAAATTTTTTTTGTTTGCGTTCTTTTACTTTCAATTATTTTTTTTATTTCATGTTTTAATTGGGCAATTCCCGATGCTCAAAAAAAGCTTGTTTTACATATAATGAGCAAATAGACGAGTGTGGAGATTGGGGTGAAGAAACAGAGAACCGTATGTGGGGGTGATTCTTTCAAAAGTAAAGTGAGAAAACGGGGTGGGGGAGTGTGAAAAATATGCATTGCGAAATAACACTACTGTGTCCTGGTGTTTGTTAGAGTGAGCACAGGGACTAGAGATATTAGAAAAACACAAATATGCTTTATAGTACAGTGCGCATTAAATGGGAGCTCTAATAGCAGTTCAAGGATGTCTCCGTCAATATATTTCTATTTTTTTCCCCTATTCAGTCAATTTGTAATGTCGTTTACGGCAAGAATATGTAAAAGTAATCCTTTGGCGGCATCTTGTGGCCAAACTCTGTATTACTCTTGTAATTTGGGTTTAGCCTCAAAATAGTCCGTTTATTTTACTCTTTAATAGCAGCATGTCTATATGCTTTATTCCCTATATATGGGATTGTCCACATATTTTAGAAGTAGTAGCGCCATATAGATATAGTGCTATTAATGATTAAAAACATTTAAGGACAGAGTTAAATCCAAGTGGCCAGTTTGGTGCCCCACCAACTTGAAAAATCACCAGCGGTCACTGGCGGTGCCCCAGCTACCCCTATAGATGAGCTTCCGCTGCCTACTAGTTAGCTAAAAGTAAGCTATTGGTTCTACTATTTCTTAAAACAATCTTTATATTTCTGTTTATTTTCATTTAAATTCTTCGCAAAATTAGGTAATATTTGTTGTGTCGAATGCATCTCTGGCAGTGTCAGAGAAAATAACAGGTGCACATCCGCATGCACTGAATTTCTGCAATAGATGCTTAAATGTGTGCATGCGCCAAGAACACCATTGTGTAGAGAGCCAGTCACAGCATGAAAAGCAGTGGATGTAAATAAAGGGTTGGTTTTTTACCTCTGCAATGTTCTTCACCCCAATAAACAGCAGAGCATTTTTATGGGGTGACAGAACAAGGAATGTTCATTTCTGAGGAAGTTACAGCTCCTCTTTAAAGAAAACATTCCAACGTTAAAAAATGTTTAAAGTTAAAATGCTCATTTTGTATACTTAGTTACATAGTTACAAGAGACTTGCATCCATCACGTTTAGCTTTCCTCAGATATGTTTTTGCTGTTGATCCAAAAGAAGGCAAAAAATCCAGTTTGAAGCACTTCCAATTTTGCAACAAACTAGGAAAAAAATCCTTATTGACCCCAAAATGGCAGTCAGATTTATCCTTGGATGAAGCAGCTATTACCCCACTAATTAGAAATTAGCAACTCCATCTCCCTCTGTGTTTTTGCAAGTATTTTTTGGAAGTATTTATCCAATTTAGTTTAAACATCTGTATGGACTCAGGCAGATAATTCCATATCCTTATTGCTCTTACTGTAAAAAAAAAAACCTTTTTTTTGCCTTAGATGAAATCTCTTTTCTTCCAGCCTAAATGCGTGACCTTGTGTCCTATGTATAGCCCTGTTTATGAATAGATTTCTTTTTTTTTTTTGGAAAATCAATTTTATTCGTAAATAGGTGTAATGCATTTCGGGCTCGCAGGCCCAAGTCATCATAAAAACATGAATTTACAATGGATAAGCAGTAGACTTCTACATTGAGATTTCAATGAAGGAGAGGATCAGTTACAGTTCAAGTGGTCGCTCATGTCCAATGCCCATAGTTAGGTGTGTTGTTGTGTCAATTAAGTTATTGAAATGTGTGAAGGTATTAGAAACGCATAGTTGGGCTAGGCCCGTGAGAGGTAGGTCAATGTGAGTGTGGTGGAATCTGTATATTGTCTGAGGTGATCTGTGTGCCTGTGTGTAGGTGAGTATATCACATTTCGGGCTCGCAGGCCCCATTTGTCATACAAGCATGAAGAGACAATGAATAAACAGTTGATATCTGTAACGAGCTTTCAATGAGGGCGAGAGTCAATCATAGTTCCCCTGTACGCTCATATCAGTGCCCTTAGTTAGATGTGCTGTTGACTCTATTAAGTCGTTGAATTATATGAGTATAGGAGACTCGCACAGTCGGGCTAGGCCCATAGGAGACGGGGCAGCGTAAATGAAATGGGGTCCGTATAGTGCCTGAGGTGCTATATGTGCCTGTAGTGTATTTATACGAGTGGCATCGACAAGGATGGGGAGGTGGATAACCTGTAGTTATGCGTGGCCCTAGTATATATAAGTGGGTGGTGTGGGTCCATTGTAGAAAGGGTTGTTCAGATTATGGTGTGACGTGGGGAGTGTATAGTGGTGAGCGATGAGGCGAGTGTGCGAGGAAATGGGTGGGTGTGCAAATCCAAGGCTGCATTGTACGCCCATCGTCCGCGTTAGCAGTTACCCTGCGTATCCTCGTCGTGTAGTCTATCAGAGTCCCCCAACCGTGGTTCCGATTCCATGTAGTAGTCGGAGAGGGTCTGGGGGGGGGGGGTCATGTGTAGGACAGCCGTATCCCTGTTTATATTTATGTAGTGGGGTTTCATTCAAATTCGTCAGCTATTCCCTTGTGGGTCCACGTGGTCACCCGTTTGTCTCAGTCGGCAGTGCCTTCAAAGTCTCCTCCCCACCTTAGAGAGATGCGCGGTGTACGGTTCAACGTTGCCACCTCCAGCGGGCCATCGTGGAACGCATCACCTGCCATAGGCGCGTCGCCCGGCATGCACCCCCGCCCGGCCCCCCCCTACCGCTGCGCGCGGAAAGGTAAACCACGGAGTCCAGAGTTCAGCACACTTCGGACCCCTGCCCATCAGCTCCGCTTGCATAGCTTCAGCCGCTCGAATATCCTCAACTCGATGGATCCATTCTTCTCTGGTAGGGATATCTGTCTTTTTCCAGTATACTGGTACGAGTGATTTTGCAGCGTTTAGCAGGTGCCGCAAGATGGATTTTTTATATGTAGATAGTGGTTGTGTGGAGACGTGGAGTAGGATTAGCTCCACCGACCAGGTGATAGTTTATGAATAGATTTCCACACAATGGTTTATATTGCCCCCGAATATATTTGTATAATGTTATCATATCCCCTCTGAAGAGACTTAAATTTTTTATCTTTTTGGTTGATTCAAAATGGTATTCACTAGGGTCCCACAGAATAAACCTCTTGGTGCGTTCATAAACTCACATTGTGCAGGACGGCATGGTACATACTAATGGCATTAACAAGTTAATAAATGTTTTCCTTTTTCTCAAAGTCATTATGGTATTAATTTTACAACTTCTAGAATTGTGTATAAACATTTTTACTTTTGTTTATATTCCAGTTATGATTACTACAAGTCACTGATATAATTAAAGTGACTCTCCAGTGCCAGGAAAATAAACCGTTTTCCTGGAACTGCAGGTCCCCTCTCTATCCCATCCCCCATTCAAAGTTGCTGAAGGGGTTAAACCCCTTCAGTGACTTACCTGTATCCAACACCGACGCTCGCGCCACGCTCCTCCCCCGCCATCTGGCGGCGGAGACCTATAGCGGTGGATAGCGCCACCTAAGGACACTAGTGAAAATATAATTACACGTCATGACTTGCTATGTGCATAATATAAAAAAATATATACAAAGCCTTTTATACTTAATTGAAAGCTAAATGACTCTACTAAATCATTTAACAGTACAAAAAAATAATATGTTTGTTTGTTTGTTTGTTTTGTTGCAGGGCTGTTGATAGACTGGACCTTATAAAGTGCACTTGGTCAGTTCTCAAGGGTTAACTGTACAGTTTTTTACCTATATTGAGAAAAAAATCTAAAGGCTTTTAATTAGTAAAATACATATTATCTATTTCTTCGAATGAATAAGAAAAAAGCTTAAGCGTTGGAAAAACTAGTCCAGCAAAATAAGCTTAAAACTGGAAAAATAATTATATAAATAAAGGTAATTATCAAGATCATTCAAATCCCTCTTCAAAATATTAACCTAAGTTATAATGAGCCAAAACCTCTAAATCGTTTTAGAGGTTTTAGAGGTTTTGGCTCATTATAACTTAGGTTAATATTTTGAAGAGGGATTTGAATGATCTTGATAATTACCTTTATTTATATCATTATTTTTCCAGTTTTAAGCTTATTTTGCTGGACTAGTTTTTCCAACGCTTAAGCTTTTTTCTTATTCATCGAATTTCATAGGGGTTAAGCCCCAGGACATAACTGGAGTGTCCACACAGGTTTTTGCTGTGGGTTTCCAGGTACGTTTCTCCTTCAAGGATTGTATTCTTGCTAGGAAAGCCCACAACTTTATTTCTATTTATCTATTTCTTCACCTAAAAGTACAGAAAAATCTTAGGAATTAAATAGTTCAGGAATAGTGAAGCTTTACTGGGAGGAAAAGGAAGTTTGGTGAATTCTTTAAGGTATCAGGACATCCTTGAATACAGATAAGAGACATCTCTGTTTTAGCTAGAATTAACAGGAAAATGTAACATTGCATTGCAACACAGCAAATACTTATTAACCTATTCTATGCCATTAATGGATGGGTAAGGTCTAAGTCATTAGGGTAATATCATTTTGAATATGAATGGGGGTACTCTAAATGATACTGTCATGGTGTGTTGCATCTTATTATGGCAAAGTAACACACCATACCAGTATAATTTAGAGTGCACACTTAGCTTACAGCCAAACATGCAAAAGTCAGGCAACACTCATTCTTATTCCCACTGTCACAACACAGTGTTCAACTGTGATAATACACAACACACCTGTTTAATTGGTTTGGGTCATAACCATATCATATGTATCAATCATGATAAACACGTAACAGAATATTCCATTAACATAAGACTCATATGTGTATCTGGATATTTTGGTATTTGACTTCG